ATCCCAGTGGGGTACACTGAGCCATGGGGGAGGGACCACAAGCATCTGAATGTAAACAGGCTGGAGATGGGACTCACTCCAGCCAATCTCTCTCTTCCATGTCTGTGCGTCTCTGTTCGTTACCCAGCTGTAGGAGTAAACAGCAATTAAGGGCCCTTCCCACAGGGTGAGAGAACTCCTGGGCCCTGGGCTGAGTCAAGGAGGAATTGGCTGTTTTGTGTAGTTGTGTGTATTTGCAAATTATAGTTAATCAGTAAGAAAACAAGAGAAAAGTGGACAGCCATGAAGAAACATTAGGAAAGGGAGAAGCAAACACTTTCTGCAGACACACAAGCCTGTGACTTTGGAATCAGAGATCATAAGTCTCCTCAGTAACTATCTTTATACTGTGCAGCATCTTTCATTGAAAGATCTTCCATATACCAAGCAAAGGAAAGTCTCTAGGAATATATCCACATTCTACACATAGGTAAACCAAGGCACGGTCCCTATGCCTGAACACATTTCCCTTTGCACTTCAAACAGACTGCTTTTGGTTAAAACCTTAAATCGGGTGACTAACCCCAGAAAGATATGCTGTAAGTCATTATGGGTACAGCTACATAGTAGTGTTATTTCAGAATAACTGACGTCATTTTGAAATAACATAGTGTGTGTCTACACGAGAAGCAGATATTTCGACATAATGTCAAAATACTATCAAGCATTCTTACTCCGACTCCCGTAACCCTCATTTTAGAAGGGATAAGGGAAGTCAGAGGGAGAATGCTCTTTCTTTGACTTCTTGCTGTGTAGACAGCAACAAAAGCCGAAATAAGCTATTTCAACTTAAGCTGTGCAATTGACGTAGCTCAAGTTGTGTAGCTTATTTTGGCTTTAGTCCTGCTGTGTAGACATGTACTATGGCTACGTCTATACTGGCATGATTTTCCGGAAATGCTTTTAACAGAAAAGTTTTCCGTTAAAAGCATTTTTGGAAAATCGCGTCTAGATTGGCACGGACGCTTTTCCGCAAAAGCACTTTTTGCGGAAAAGCATCCGTGGTCAATCTAGACACGGTTTTGCGCAAAAAAGCCCCGATCGCCATTTTAGCCATTGGGGCTTTTTTGCACAAAACAGTACTGTGCTGTTTACACTGGCCCTCTTGTGCAAATGATTTACGCAAGAGGGCTTTTGCCTGAACGGGAGCAGCATAGTATTTCCGCAAGAACACTGATGATCTTACATGAGATCATTAGTGTTCTTGTGGAAATTCAAGCGGCCAGTGTAGACAGCTGGCAAGTTTTTCCGCAAAATCATGTGTTTTTGCGGAAAAACTGGCCAGTCTAGACACAGCCTATAGGTAATAAGTGTAGAGATGGAAGTAGATTGCCTAAGAAATCAAGCATAATTGCAAGCTGAGTTCTATCAACTAGACAGTATTGGAATCAAGCAGTTTCGCCTGATGGGCAAACAATAGTTCACCAATTCTCCATACGCGGACTGGGACTTCTCCATACGCGAATTGGGACGCGGACTGGGACTTTACACTCTCTTTCAAAAAAGTGGCTTCCTTTTTCAACAGAACTGGCTGTAGTCTAGATGCTCTTTTTCAACAGGCTTTGTCGACAGTATCTAGTGCAGTCTAGATGTAGCCTTATAGCCCAAGCCTGGGGGTCCGTTACTGGACAACACCAAACCAGTCACACAGAGCACCTCTGTTTGCCACACTGTCCAGCAAGAAGTGACAAGAGCAGCCTCCTCGGACACCTGCTGTGCCTGTGCCACAACCAGCGCCACTCCTTATACAGGTGAGAGTTTAGGAAAACCAAACTCACCAACTCTGAACAGGGTCTCCAAGTCCCAAAGGATCAGCCACATTCCCATGGCAATTTATACCTCAGTTCATACCCAAAAGAGCACACTGTGCCGATCCCTTAGAATCTAAAACCCAAGGCTACGTCTTCACTGCCCATTCTTCCAGCAGGAAATATGCTAAGAGAGACTCATTAGCATAAGTTGTGATCTCATTAGAATCTTTTCTGCCATTTCTTTTTGCTCAAGGAGTTTTTGCGCAAAAAGGAGCAGTGTTGATGGATTCTTTGCGCAAAACCCCATTGTGCACAAGATCCTTATGCCTGTCCTGGAGAAGTCCCTAGTGCAGGCTTGCAGTAGAGATGGGGGGAAATTACACAAAATCATGCTAGTCTAGACGCAGCCCAAATGTCTAATTTTACACACATGCACCAAAATAAGATAGACAGATGTATCGGATTATGGTGTGAAGATTGATGGGTTACATGAGGCAATTTGTCCTGAGCAGTTTTGAGTTATGTCAATTTGTGTCAATTTCATAAAGCATGGTGGGAGTAGAGGGGGTCACACCTTGCTACCTGAATCTGTGCTGGAGAGGGGCATTCTCGGCGGGGGAGGAAGAGGGTGTTCCTGGAGCAGAACGCTGCCCCCGCTGGCTGTCCTCCAGGGATCCAGGTGTCTGCTCACATGAGGGGTCATCCCTATGTGGAGACTGTAGGGGTAAACTGAGGCAGTCCATGGTACTCTGCTAAGAACTCTCTTTCAAATCCTAAATTTAAGGCAAGGCCTGGGAACACACAGAACAAGCAGTTAACATGACCCTGGTCGCCCTGGCAACCACGTTCCAAGAGGGCCTCACTCAGGGTATGTCTACACTACAGCACTTAATTCTAGATAATAAATCTGGATCCCAAGGACTATATAGTTCATTGTAATGTTTTGATTATCTAGTGCTCTCCAGGTTAACCCCTGGTTGGTACTCCATCTGCGCTGGTGCACAATAATTCCTCAGCTTGTTTTCACCTGCATCCAGAGTGTCCAGAATTATTTCCTACAGAGACTGTTATGCACACGTATCAGTAATGGGGAGGCAGCCCTGGGTAGAGCTTAGTAAACGTTCTTGGAGGGAGGGGGGTCTCCTGTTGTCCCCTTCCCATAGCATGAGCAGAAACAGGCAGCTGTTGGGATGAAGTCAGGGTGCCCAGAGTATGTCACCTTCTCCATTGGGGGCCATGACACCATTGCAGATCAGTGGCTACAGGCTGAGCACTGTCTAGGGCCTGCTCCTTGTAGCTGAGGGTGGCTGGTGCCCAGGAATCTCTACGACTCTGGCTGGCAATGGATGGACGGGAAGGGGATCCCACTGTGGCACTAGCACCCAGAACAGCTCAGCTCTGGCACAGGCACAGGGGAGGTGCCCTGCCTCCTGAGCGGGTGTGGGAAGGGGGAGGGGAACACCGGCTCAGCCCAGCATGTAGGTGACCAGGAATAGGGTCAGGCTGTAACTCAGCCACTCCTGGGGGCAGGGACTGTTCAGCTTGGGAGAGAGACAACTGAGTGGAGATCTGATCGAGGTCTGGACCGTTGTGAGTGGTGCGGAGAGAGCAAATAAGGATGAGTCGTTCACCCCTTCCCATTACACACCCCAGGAAGTTAAGGCAGCAGGTTTCAAACAAACACGAGGAAGAATTTCTTCACACAATGCACTGCCCACATGGGAAATCCTTTTCTGGGAGTGTTGTGAAGGCCAAAATGATCACTGAGTTCACAGAAGAACCATACACGTTCCCAGAGGGTAGGTCCACCAGTCGTTATTAGCCAGGCTGGGCACGGATACAGCCCCATGCTTCGGCTGTCATAAAATCATAAAATCATAGAACACTAGGACTGGAAGGGACCTTGAGAGGTCATCGAATCCGGTCCCCTGCCCTCATGGCAGGACCCAATACTATCTAGACCATCCCTGATAGACATTTATCTAACCTACTCTTAAATATCTCCAGAGATGGGGATTCCACAACCTCCCTGGGCAATTTATTTCAGTGTTCAACCACCCTGACAGTGAGGAAATTTTTCCTAATGTCCAACCTAAACCTCCCTTGCTGCAGTTTAAGCCCATTGCTTCTTGTCCTATCATCAGAGGCTAAGAACAATTTTTCTCCCTCCTCCCTGTGACACCTTTTTAGATACCTGGAAACTGCTCTCATATCCCTTCTCAATCCTCTCCTTTCCTAACGCAACAAGCCCAGTTCTTTCTGCCTTCCTTCATAGCTCCTGTTCTCTAGACCTTCCATCATTCTTGTTGCTTTTGTCTTGTCCCTAGCCTCTCTTGTCAGAAGCTTGGCATAGGCGACAGGAGTCCCTCTCTTCTTCATTCCTTCTAGGAAACTTGCTGAAGGATCTGGGTCCAGAAATAATGCCAAACAATGTGTGACGGGATGGGGTCGGGCCAGGACGAGAGGAACCCTCTCCCACTGCTGGGGAAGATGATGAGAGGGGAGAGGGGCAGCTCGTTGTAGGGGAAAGAGAGAGATGTCTGGCGTGAGAGGGGGAGGAGTCAGCTTACTGGGTGTGTGTTTGCCACATGGTATATTCGTGGCCTGGCTTTGTGGGTAAGGCTCTGGGTCAGGGCTCAGATCTAGGTTCACAGGTCTCCTCTGTCTCACCGGGACCAGATCAGGTGAAAGGCACATGCCACCTGCATGGGGCAGCATGGAGTAATCTTCCCACAGGGGACTTTTCCTCCTGACCCTCAATCAGGAGAGTGTGGCTGCTGCCCTGACGCACATGCAAGCTTTGCCTTACACTCTTGTGTGAGCTTAGGCAAGTCCGTGGACTGCCTGGGCCGCACTCCCCACCTGTGTTGTGGGGTGACTGCAACACTGCCTTGCCCACGGTTGGTTGTCCTCTCTCTCTGGATTGAAGCCCTTGGCGCGGGGACAGTCTCTGGCTGTATTTCACACAGCACCTCACACAATGAGGCCGTGATCTCTCTGGGCTGGGTGGAAATGCACCAGTAACGGGGCTCCGGGGCAGCGAAAAGTCAATGCCATGATCTGCCACAGAACCCAGCAGCATGATGATTCTGCCTGCTGCCCAGCCAGGTGGAGCTGGGATTCCACAACAGGTGACTGAGCCATCTGCATCCCCGGCCTTGCTGGCCTTGATGTTGACTTCATGGACCCGGCTCCCTAGCCACTGACCCATCAGGCTGGTTTGAGGCCCAAGATGTGGAGAGCCCTCTGGCGGATCCCCGGGGTTCTCACCCTGTAGATGAGGGGGTTCATCATGGGAGGGAGGAGCAGGTAAATGTTGGCAATGAGGATGTGGACATGGGGAGCCACGTGGCCCAAGCGGTGGGAGAGGAAGGTGAATCCCGCAGGAGTGTAGAACATGAGTATGATGCAGACGTGGGAGCTGCATGTGCTGAGGGACTTGCTCCGGGCCTGCTTGGAGGGCAGGCTGAAAACTGTGCGGAGGATCAGGATGTAGGACAGGACAATGAGAATGAAATCTAACCCCCCAGTGAAAAATGCGATGACCAGGCTGTAGGCACTTATGACTGTGGTGTCCACACAAGCCAGTTTTGCCAGCACCATGAACTCACAATAGGTGTGAGAAATAACATTGGTCTTACAGTATGGGAGCCATTTCAACAGAAATGGATGGAGGCCCAGTAACGCAACCCCCTTCATTACAACGCCCAGCCCTATCTTGGCTATGGCCTGATGGGTCAGGATGGCCGAGTGTCGCAGCGGGTTACAGATGGCGACGTAGCGATCGAAGGCCATGGCCAGCATGAACCCGGACTCCATGGTAGTAAGTGAGTGAATCAAAAAAATCTGGGCCAGGCAAGCATCGATATGAATGGCCTGGTCCCTAAACCAGAAAATGCAGAGGGTTTTGGGCACGGTGGTGTTGGAGACAACCAGGTCGGCGAAGGCCAGCATGGCGAGGAAAAGGTACATGGGCTCGTGGAGACTCGGCTCAGATTTGATCACAGCCAGGAGGAGGCAGTTCCCTACGACAGACAGGATGTAGACGGAGCAGAAGGGGATGGAGATCCAGACGTGGGCCGCCTCCAGACCCGGGATGCCGAGGAGGATGAAGGTGGAGTGGTGAGGTGTGGTCCAGTTGGAAGCTGCCATGGTGAGGCTGGCTGGGTATGTTCAGCTCCACAGCATGGCTGCTTCCTGCCCCTGAAATTTACCATGAAAACAATCATTAATTGGCCATTGGGAACGTCACAAGGGGGCATTATCTCAGCATCAGTTCTGCATCTACCTGGGCTAACGGCAGATGGAAAGGGAGTCACAAATAACGTTTCCTTGGCTCCTGCTCTGCAGCCATTCCACTCTCATTACAGGCAGGAAGAGAGGGCTCTGGATCCATTCAGAGCAGCGGTTCTTTTTCTCTGGATTCCTCCTACGAACGGCCCACGAAAACCCTGTCTGAATAGAGATTCATCAGGCCAATCCTGAGCTGGACTATATGACTGGGTGCCGCTAAAGTTGTGCCCATTTACACCAGCTGGACATTTGGCCCATTGCAGCCAGCTGAAAGAGAGACCAGATCTGAACCATTTTCGCTGGCTGCTTTTCATTCATGCGGCTCATGGGAATGGACGGCTCCGCCCGGATACTTGTGGCTAATTGGGCCCTTGGAGGGAATCTCAGCCTAAAGGACAAGCGGGAGTGGGCTGTCATACTGGCAGCCCCTGTCCACAGGGCCGGATTAAGACCGTTAGAGCAGTGGTCCCCAACCATTTGACATCGCTGGGCACCAGGGGGCATGGCCGTTAGCCTACCAGGCACCAGAGGGCGAGGACACTCGCGCACCAGGGGGTGGGGCCATGCATACGCCACACCCCCATGAGCCACGTGCCTGGGGCTGGCGCACCCCATAGCAGAGCACCAGGGGGTGGGGCCGCGCATATGCCACACCCCCATGAGCCATATGCCTGGGGCTGGCGCCCCCCATAGCAGCGCACCAGGGGGTGGGACTGTGCATATGCCACACCCCCATGAGCCATATGCCTGGGGCTGGCGCCCCCCATAGCAGCGCACCAGGGGGTGGGACTGTGCATATGCCACACCCCCATGAGCCACGTGCCTGGGGCTAGCGCACCCCATAGCAGCGCACCAGGGGGTGGGGCCGTGCATATGCCACACCCCCATGAGCCACATGCCTGGGGCTGGCGCACCCCATAGCAGTGCACCAGGGGCTGGGGCCGTGCATATGCCACACCCCCATGAGCCACGTGCCTGGGGCTGGATTTACGTCTCCCCTGCGGGAGTGCCGGGGGACACAGTGGTGAGCTCCAGATTTTCTGGTGGCCCTACATATCTGCTGGTGCTTGTAACCCTAAGGGTGGCTCTGTCAAATCTACTGCCTGGTTCCTCTCTGGGCACCTCCCCCTAACTGCTGTCTCCTGCTGGCAGCCGCCCAGCAGGGCTTCTCCCCTCTTCCTGCCCCCATGTGCTCCTCTTGGGAGCATGGAACGAACAGAAGGCTCCTTCCTGCCAGAATGGGGACAGCGAGGAGCCCTTCGGCTGTGTGGCTCCATGGCACCTGGGAAGCCCTTAAGCCCCAGATGGAGCCAGGTCAAGGGGGAGGGAGGCAAGCTCCAGAACACCATCAGCAGCTGTGGGGCAGGGGGACTGTCCATGGGTGGGGAGGGTGACCCTGAGCCCTGGCAGAAGACATGCAGTGCAGGTGGCTGTAGTTCCATTGGGCCCTGTACATCGTAAGGACAACTCCACTCAAGGTATCAGTCCAGCAGCAGTGATGCTCCAGCCCAGAAGCTGGAGTGAGGGGCAGCGAGCCTGTCCTGGAATCGCAGCTTCCTGTCACATTTTGAAAGAACCCATTTCAGTTCCATAGGGTTCCTCACCCCCTGGGCTCAAGGGCAGGACACTCCCAGGACAAAACAGACCATCGGACTGGTTTGCAGGACTGCCAGTCCAATCAACCAGCCAACCCTCCCTGTGGCATGTCTGCTCCCCAACACACACATCCTGCCCGGGGACTTGTGGCTAAGATACCGACTCGGCTCTCCAAGACAGACAGATGCGTTTCAGCCTCCCTCTTGCACCTTCAGTTCCCCAGCTGGTATTTTGAGGGTCACTGTGTCCTTGCCTCACATATTTTTCATTGACTTATTGTTCTGATGTGAATACGGCATAAAGACGACATGTTTCATACAAGAGGAATCACGTAAGGCGTCATTGGGAAAGCTACGGTTCACTAATGATGTTAGTACACATGTATCAAGTTTGTATCTGAAGTGAAAGGATATCGAACTTGTAACTGCATTTTACATGTGCTCTGTTGGATGGCATCCACAACTTCAGGTCCAACAAGGAAAAAACCGAACAGGGCTGAGTGCGCATCCACAAAGAGAATAGATTATGAACATGCTTAGTCTTTCTGTGGACACTCCAAGCCCCCACCAGGCTACAACCCTACAGAGACAGGTGACTGAGTCACCTTGAACTGGATCCTATCCTGGAGGGCCAATGTTTTCCCATGGGAAGACAAAGGATTCCATTATACACATAAAGTAGCTAAGTTTCAAGCTTCAGTTCAGTACAGATGGATTCTAGGAACCCATGCAATCTGTCTGAAACAGCCTTTAGGGCAGTCGTTCCCATCCTTTTCCAGATGGGGACCCATTTTGACAATTCAGGTGACCCACAGCAATTCAAAAATGGGGGGAGGAGGGAGGGCAGAGCCACCTGGGAAGACACTTGGTGACCCTTTTGGAATGTAATGGCGACCCATACGTGGGTCCTGACCCATAGGTTGGGAAACCCTGCTTTGGGGTGAGAAAATATTATTTATAGCCAGTGTCCTTAGTGTATTAAGACTAGTTTGTGCGTCTGTTTTATTTGTTCCAGAATCTGCTTTGTTCTGTTTGATGGCTCGAATAGGTATATCTACACTGCACGGCTATTTCGAAATAAGCTATTCCGGAATAGTTAAAATTGCACGTCTACACTACAGGGAAGCCTCAGAATTAGTCCGAGGCAGGATTCCCTAATGTAGATGTGGTATCGCAATTCAGAGCCTCAGGAGGGATAACTTAGAATGGCCGCGGTGAGGGCTAGTTCAGAATAGGCATTATTCCTCATAGAATGAGGTTTACCGATTTCGGAATAAGCTGTCCGTTATTTCAAAATTGTTTCGAGATAACGGAATGGCTGTGTAGACGCTCGCCTTGTTATTTTGAAATAGTGCTAGTTATCTGGAACTAATAGTGCAGTGTAGTCCATAATGACTTAAAATCCAGTGGTCTCTGGCTGATGAATGTGGGTTTTTTTGTTTAGTCTCAAACCCGGTGTACACAGTTCATAATTGGAAGGGGCAAAGGGCTGTGCTTATCCTCTTCCACGTGGAGGAAAAGGCAGAATTTTCTATCACTTTCACTCTTCTCTCCTGGGGAGGTGGTTATCCGAGTTCTGGGACAAGCTCCTAATGCTGAGTCTTCCCAGAGCTGGGCTCAGTGCCTGTGTCTTTCGGCAGCGGGGTGTGGCGCTGCCTGTGTGCATGCTGGAGAGACTGTCCAGCCCAGCAGGACAGGTGGGCTCAGTGGTAACCCATTATCTCAGTTAGCTTCCTAAAGGGGCAAACTGTGACACTCAGGGAGAAGTGCTGAGGTGGGATCCACAAGTACATAAGAACATAAGAACGGCCGTACTGGGTCAGACCAAAGGTCCATCTAGCCCAGTATCCTGTCTACTGACAGTGGCCAGCACCAGGTGCCCCAGAGAGGATGGACCGAAGACAACGATCAAGCGATTTGTCTCCTGCCATCCCTCTCCAGCCTCTGACAAACGGAGGCCAAGGGCACCATTTTATCCCCTGGCTAATAGCCTTTTATGGACCTAACCTCCATGAAATTATCTAGCTTCTCTTTAAACTCTATTATAGTCCTAGCCTTCACAGCCTCCTCTGGCAAGGAGTTCCACAGGTTGACTACCTGCTGTGTGAAGAAGAACTTTCTTTTATTAGTTTTAAACCTGCTACCCATTAATTTCATTGGGTGTCCTCTAGTTCTTCTATTTAGGGAACTAATAAATAAGTTTTCTTTATCGGCCCTCTCCACACCTCTCATGATTTTATAGACCTCTATCATATCCCCCCTCAGTCTCCTCTTTTCTAAACTGAAAAGTCCCAGTCGCTTTAACCTCTCCTCATATGGGATCATATGGTATCTGCACTTGGTTCTGATAAGCTCTATGAACACGCCTCTACCTCATAGAATCACAGAACACTAGAACTAGAAGGGACCTTGAGAGGTCATCGAGTCCAGTCCCCTGCCCTCACGGCAGGGGTGAGCACCGTCTAGATCATCCCTGACAGGTGTCTGTCCAACCTGCTCTGAAATATCTCCAGTGATGGAGATTCCACAACCTCCCTAGGCTTGGAATCATTCACTCCTGTTAACGTGGAAGTGAATGAGACGGATCTGCAGTCAGAGGAGTGTTACAAACCTGGGAGCAGGATTTCTCTTGGCATCTCTCATTTAGCCGACAGATCTCAGCCCTCAGGCAGCCTGGCAGCAGGATCGCTCTATCCCCACTGAGGGGTTATTTGTACTTGTTGACTCTAGACCTGCATTTGTCAAACTTTGTCTTGCAACTATTTTGGATGGGCCGTCTTTTGTCTGTTGCGGGAAGGGCATAGAGAGAACTCAGCAGAGAGCGGCTCATGATGGCGTCTGAGTACTGCTGTGCTACAAACCACAACAGACAACCCCTGGGGGGAGCTCTGCTCCACACACACAGGCCATGTGAACCATTCGCACACCTCGCGGGAGAGCCGTTTCCCAGCTGAGAGAAACCGAAGCACAGAGGCCGCTGTCGACACATTGAACTAGTCGCACGGTTCAAGGCGTCTGTGTCCAAGGGCAGGAGCTGCCTGCAGACACCGTCATCACAATTACACCCAGCATGGAAGGATTCAGTGATACGCTGACAATAACCCGCCAGCCAAATTCTGCCTCCAGCCCAGTGCAAGCGGTTGCTGTTGGATCTGATGAGACTAAGGCAGCAGCCACTTTGTGAGGAATCAGACCTCACACAGAAGAGCCTGGACACCGAATATTACCCCACCCGCCCTGGCCGAACATACAGGGGAGTCTGGCACAAGGCGAAGAGTTGGGAAGCCTGTGGGGTAAATTCACACTAAATTCACGTTTCCCATCCATGCCCCATTGGATATCCTGGCCCTTCTGTGCAGGTAAAGGAGGGTGAAACAGTGAGTGTCCCCAGGCTAAGCACCGTTCCTGCATACCTGCCTTCCAGACGTGTGACTCTCCCCAGACCCGGCTCCTGCCCCTCTCTGAGCTTCCCTGGCCAAGAAGAACATATGGGAACCTCTCCACCCCACACATCATCTGTCTCAGCATCGTGCTTCCTCTGTGTTACCTTGTGAGGCAGGGGCAGGTGCTGCTAACAAGGCTATTTCTGGGCTCCTCAGCCCTGCACTCACCCAGCTCCGGCACAGCAGAGAGGGGCTGACGTGGCAGCGGGCGGTGTCTGGAGCGGTTCTGTGCTGGGCTGGAGGAGAGCTGTGTGGGGAGATTTATAACCATCGCTGTGCAATCCCAGCAGGGTTTGGGCCTCCCCTGAGCAGCTGAGAGCATGAGACCCATGCTTTTCCCATTGCCTGGGTGTACGGCACCCTGAGGGAGTGAGGGAGGGTAATGCCCCAGGGAGAAATGGAGACAGTCCCCCTGCCTGGGTGTACAGTGTCCCCGGGGAGCCGTAAAGGGCAATTAGCCAGGGACAGTGGGGAAACGGTCCTTATTATCCGACCAATTAGAAGCCAAGCTCAGTTGCTAAGGGCCATGACCTTGGCATTCACAGATCTGCTGCAAGAAAATCACTCACTTGGGTTTGGTGGCAGAAGCCACAACCTGTGATAGTCGCTGCACATTTGAGCAGCATTGTGACCCCATCCGGCAGGTCACAGTGCCACTCACTGCCCCTGGGTTTGGCCAGCTCCCTCTGCATCCACTGTTACATATCGGGTTTCTGGGGGCACCGCTAAGAGGTAAAACAGGGGAAAATTGCTTAAAACCAGGGCTTCGTACAGCCCATGACTCCTAGACTCATAGACTTTAAGGTCAGAAGGGACCTTGATCATCTAGTCTGACCCCCTGCACAGTGCAGGCCACAGAACCTCCCCCACCCCTCCTAGAATAATCCTCTCCCCTATATCTCAGATATTGAAGCCTTCAAATACTTTGAAGACCCCAAGATGCAGAGAATCCTCCAGCTGTGATCTGTGCCCCATGCTACAGAGGAAGGCGAAAAACCTCCAGGGCCTCTGCCAATCTACCCTGGAGGAAAATTCCTTCCCGACCCCAAATATGGCGATCAGCTAAACCCTGAGCCTGTGGGCAAGACTCACCAGCCAGACACCCAGAAAGTTCTCTATAGTAACCCCTATCATCCCTCCATTGACCTATTTCCCACTGATAGTGAAAGGTCAATTAGTTACCAAGATCATGTTATCTCATCAAACCATCCCCTTCAGAAACCCATCCAGCTTAATCTTGAAGCCAGCTAGATCTTTTGCCCCCACTGCTTCCCTTGGAAGGCCGTTCCAGAACCTCACTCCTCTAATGGTTAGAAACCTGCATCTCATCTCAAGCCTAAACTTCCTACTAGCCATTTTATATCCATTGATGACGGGGGATCCTCCTCTCGAAGCACCAAACCAGCCAGACAGAGCACTTCTGTTTGCCACACTGGCCAGCAAGACTCCCCAGCTTCTCCTGTGCCACAGCCAGCACCACTGGCTACACAGAGGAGAGGCTCTGAGAAGTAATCCACAGGAGGAGAAAGAAAGAGCCTGGCGCACAGGCCTGGTGCTTGAACCGAAGCCGGCGAGAGTTATGCTACAAGTCACAGACAGGCCGTGTCACAAGCAGATGTTTGCCTGCGAGTCCGTGTTTCTCGGCACTAAACCTGCTAGCGCTGCTAAAAGCACATGAAGTGTGTAAATACATTCCAGCGGGACAGTACAGAGACAACCAGATAAGTACACGATAAAATAGTTTGAAACAAGAGTGAAAGCATAAAAATGGGAGGTGAATTTGCTTTGGAGGAAAGTCCAAGGGGAGGTACCAAACATGTGATTAGTGGGTAAGATGAATTTACATTGGGTATCATGGATTGTTCATTTCTGTCTGTAAGTGTTGGGGTACCTCACTTACTTCTTTGGCCAGCCCTATGGGGCGATAGTGATATCCATACTATCGATTGACCTGTGTCCATTGTCCTGGGTACAAACACAAAGGGGCTTGCAGGCCATCTGGCTACTGACAGCTATTCATGAACTTTGTTTGACAATGAACCTGACTCGGGTGCCTTCGTATCTTATCTGAGACTGTGGTCTTTGGGGGCTCTTGTGAAGTCAATTATAGAATCATAGACTCATAGAGCTGGAAGAGACCTCAGGAGTCATCAAGTCCAGCCCCTGCCCAAAGCAGAACGAACCCCAATTACATCATTCTAGCCAGGGCTTTGTCAAGCTGAGACTTAAAAACCTCTGGGGATGGAGATTTCACCCATTCCCTAGGAAACCCATCCCAGTGCCTCCCCACCCTCCTAGGGAAATAGTTTTTCCTAATATCCAACCTAGCCTTCCCCCACTGTAACTAGAGACCATTGCTCCTTGTTCTGCCATCTTCCACCACTGAGAACAGCCTCTCTCCATCCTCCTTGGAACCTCCCTTCAGGAAGTTGAAGGCTGCTCTCAAATCCCCCCTCACTCTTCTCTTCTGCAGACTAAAGGAACCCAAATACCTCAGTCTTTCCTCATAGGTCATGTGCTCCAGCCCCCTCATCATTTTGGTCACCCCCACTGGACCATCTCCAATGCGTCTTCATCCTTTCTGTAGTGGGGGGCCCAGAACTGGACACAATGCTCCAGATGTGACCTCACCAGAGCCGAATAAAAGGGACTAATCACTTCTCTAGATCTGCTGGCAATGCTCTTCCTAATGCAACATAATATGCCATTAGCCTTCTTGGCTACAAGGGCACACTGTTGACTCACATCCAGCTTTTCATCCACTGTAGTCCCCAGGTCCTTTTCTGCAGAACTGCTACTTAGTCAGTTGGTCCCCAGCCTGTAACAATGCTTGGGATTCTTCCATCCCAAGTGCAGGACTCTGTACTTGTCCTTGTTGAACCTCATCAGTTTTCTTTTGGCCTAATCCTCTAATCTGTCTAGGTGACTCTGAACCCTATCCCTGCCCAGTGTATCTATCTCTCCCCCTAGTTTAGTGCCATCTGCAAACTTGCTGAGGGTGCAATCCAACCCCTCATCCAGGTCATTAATAAAGATGTTGAAGAAATACTCAAGCCACTGAGCTATCCCTCCCTTATTATTAAGGTTTATTGATAAAAGAAATAAAAGGTGGAGAGTAAAATTGTTTTAGGAAACAAATGAGATAGACAAATTACCACATTCTGGTGCAGGCTTGTAGCAGAGATGGAATATTCTCCTGCCTTAAAAGTCTTCACTTTACATCCTTTCTTAGGATGGGTCAAAATCCTTCTCGGACCTTTGTTCATAGCAAAGGGAATTCTGCAGTGAAGAGCAAGAGTGAAGACAGAGATGGAGGAACCCCCAGGACTCCGTTTATACCCTTGGCCACGTGGAGGGCATCTTATTGTTTTCCCTGTGCAGAGATACCTCCCAAAATTAAGATTTTCAAGCAAGCAAGTCACCGGTCTGTGTCCTTTTTAGGCACTCATCCCTGGCATACCTGCTTGACTGCAAGTGTACAGCAAAATTCCTCAGATGTGCATTGGCAACACTTAAGGTCCTTTGTCAGTCCACAATAGATAGGAAAGGCCTGTTGGTGTCTCTCAGGAACAAATACTTGAAAGATCTGTCCAGAGTCAATACTCACAACTTCCTATACAAAATCGGGCAGGCGTGTGAATAGTATAAAGAGAATCCGCAAAGCATTCAATAGACACCTCACTTAGCCCACTTTGTGTAACCTTTGGGGAGACCGCACAGCCGTGGGTGTAACAAAGCTTTGCATGTTCCCAACAAAAATCCAGTAACTTCACATGGTAGATCGGGGTGGGTAAGGTTTGGACCAGGGCTTAGATCTGGGTTTACTGGCTCAGGCCAGGGTGCAGTCTACTCATATCTCTTCTGCCTGACCGTGACCAAATTAGGCGCTTGAGAGAAAGGTGCAAGACCCTCTGCATGAGGCAGGGGGTAACCTGCCCCTAGGGGACTTTTCCTCCTGACCTCCAATCAGGAGAGATCGGCTGGTGGCCTGAAGTAATTGCTGGCTTTGTCTTAGACTCCCTGGGTGATCCTTGGGGAAGTCCGTAGGCTGTACCCCCCTGGCTGTGACATGGGTGCCTGCAACACAATTTGGATTGAACCCCCTGGGGCAGGCACAGTCTCTAGCTGTATTTTGCACAGCACCTCATACGAGGAGTCCCGGTCTCATTGGACTGGGTGAAAATACACCAATAACAGTGCTCTACGGCAGTGAAAAGAGCCCGACAATCATGTTTCTTATCCCTGCTGCCCAGGCAGGCTGCAGTGGGATTCTACCGCATGGGGGTGACCGAGCCATCTGGATCCCCTGCCTTGTGGGTCCTGATGTTGACTGAATGGAACTTGCACCCCAGCAGCTGACCCATCCCATGGGCCATCAGGCTGGTTTGAGGCCCAAGATGTGGAGCACACTTTGCCGGATCCCTGGGGTTCTCACCCCATAGATGAGGGGGTTCATCATGGGAGGGAGGAGCAGGTAAATGTTGGCGATGAGGATGTGGATATGGGGAGCAACGTGGCCAAATCGGTGGGAGAGGAAGGTGAAGATCGCTGGGGTGTAGAACACCAGCATGATGCAGACGTGGGAGCTGCAGGTGCTGAGGGACTTGCTCCGGGCCTGCTTGGAGGGCAGGCGGAAGACAGCCCGGAGGATCAGGATGTAAGACAGGACAATGAGAATGAAATCTAAGCCCCCAGTGAAAAATGCTATGGCCAGACTGTAGGCACTTATGACTGTGGTGTCCACACAAGCCAGTTTTGCCAGGGCCATGAACTCACAATAGGTGTGAGAAATGACATGAGTCCCGCAATATGGGAGTTGCTTCGGCAGGAACGGGTGTGGGCCTAGTAACATGATCCCCCTCACCACAACAACAAGACCTATCTTGGCTATGGCCTGATGGGTCAGGATGGCCGAGTGTCGCAGCGGGTTACAGATGGCGACATAGCGATCGAAGGCCATGGCCAGCATGAACCCAGACTCCATGGTATGAAGTGAATGAATTAAAAAAATCTGGATCAGGCAAGCGTCGATATGAATGGCCTGGTCCCTGAACCAGAAAATGCAGAGGGTTTTGGGCATGGCAGCAGTTGAGATAACCAGGTCGGCGAAGGCCAGCATGGCGAGGAAAAGGTACATGGGCTCATGGAGGCTCGGCTCGGTCTTGATCACAGCCAGGAGGAGGCAGTTCCCTAGGAGGGACAGGATGTAGACCGAGCAGAAGGGGATGGAGATCCAGACGTGGGCTGCCTCCAGCCCCGGGACGCCGAGCAGGAAGAAGGTGGAGGGGTGGGGTGTGGTCCAGTTGGAAGCTGCCATGGTGAGGCTGGCTGGGTGCATTCAGATCCACAGCATGGCTGCTTCCTGACCCTGAAATGAACGATTAATTAATCATTAATTGGCCAATGGGAAGAGGATAAGGGGGATTTTCTTAGCATTATTTTTGCATCTATCCTGGGCTAACAGCAGACAGAAAGTATCCTTGGCTCTTGCCCTCAGCCATTCCATCCGTATTACACAGGGATTAGCAGTGAGC